TCCAATCAACAGAAAAGGCGGGAATCCTCCCTAACTCATTTTATGAGGTCAACATCATCCTGATACCAAAGCCTGGCAGAGACACAACAAAAAAAGAGAATTTTAGACCAATATCCTTGATGAACATCAATGTAAAAATCCTCAATAAAATACTGGGAAACCGAATCCAGCAGCACATCAAAAAGCTTATCCACCAAGGTCAAGATGGCTTCATCCCTGGGATGCAAGGCTGGTTCAACATATGCAAATCAATAAATGTAATCCATCACTTAATCAGAACTAAAGACAAAAACCACAGGATTATCTCAATAGATGCAGAAAAGACCTTCAACAAAATTCAACAGCCTTCATGCTAAAAACTCTCAATAAATTTGGTATTGATGGAACATATCTCAAAATAATAAGAGCTATTTATGACAAACCCACAGCCAGTAATGTACAGAATGGGCAAAAACTGGAAGCAGTCCCTTTGAAAACTGGCACAAGACAGTGATGCTGTCTCTCACCACTCCTATTCAATAACATAGTGCTGGAAGTTCTGGCCAGGGCAATCAGGCAAGAGGAAGAAATAAATGGTATTCAATTAGGAAAAGAGCAAGTCAAATTGTCCCTGTTTGCAGATGACATAATTGTATATTTAGAAAACCCCATCGTCTCAGCCTCAAATCTCCTTAAGCTGATAAGCAACTTCGGCAAAGTCTCAGGATACAAAATCAATGTGCAAAAATCACAAGCATTCTTATACACCAATAAGAGACAAACAGAGAGCCAAATCATGAGTGAACTGCCATTCACAGTTGCTACGAAGAGAATGAAATGCCTAAGAATACAACTTACAAGGGATGTGGAGGACCTCTTCAAGGAGAACTACAAACCATGGCTCAAAGAAATAAAAGAGGACACAAACAAATGGAAGAACACACCATGCTCATGGATAGGAAGAATCAATATTGTGAAAAATGACTATACTGCCCAAGGTAATTTATAGATTCAACGCCATCCCCATCAAGCTACCAGTGACTTTCTTCACAGAATTGGAAAAAACTACTTTAAAGTTTATATGGAACTAAAAAAGAGCCTGCATTGCTAAGACAATCCTAAGCCAAAAGAGCAAAGCTGGAGGCATCATGCTACCTGACTTCAAACTATACTACAAGGCTATAGTAGTCAAAACAGCATGGTACTGGTACCAAAACAGAGGTATAGAGCAATGGAACAGAACAGAGGCCTCAGAAATAACACCACACATCTACAACCATCTGATCTTTGACAAACCTGACAAAGACAAGCAATGGTGAAAGGATTCCCTATTTAATAAATGGTGCTGGGAAAACTGGCTAGCAATATGTAGAAAGCTGAAACTGGATCCCTTCCTTACACCTTATACAAAAATTAATTTAAGATGGTTAAAGATTTAAATGTTACACCTAAAACCATAAAAACGCTAGAAGAAAATCTAGGCAATACCATTCAGGACATAGGCATGGGCAAGGACTTCATGACTAAAACACCAAAAGGAATGGCAACAAAAGCCAAAAGAGACAAATGGGATCTAATTAAACTAAAGAGCTTCTGCATGGCAAAAGAAACTACCATCAGAGTGAACAGGCAACCTACAGAATGGAAGAAAATTTTTGCAATCTACCTGTAATCTACAAAGAACTTAAACAAATTTACAAGAAAAAATCAAACAACCCCATCAAAAAGTGGGCAAAGGATCTGAAGAGACACTTTTCAAAAGAAGACATTTATGCAGCCAACAGACACAGGAAAAAATGCTCATCATCACTGGTCATCAGAGAAATGCAAATCAAAACCACAATGAGATACCATATCACACCAGTTAGAATAGCGACCATTAAAAACTCAGGAAACAACAGGTGCTGGAGAGGATGTGGAGAAATAGGAATGCTTTTACACTATTGGTAGTAGCGTAAATTAGTTTAAACATTGTGGAAGACAGTGTGGCAATTCCTCAAAGATCTAAAACTAGAAATACCACTTGATGCAGTGATCCCTTTACTGGGTATATACCTAAAGGATTATAAATCATGCTACTATAAAGACACATGCACCTGTATGTTTATTGTGGCACTATTCACAATAGCAAAGACTTGGAACCAACCCAAATGTCCATCAATGACAGACTGGATTAAGAAAATGTGGCACATATACACCATGGAATACTATGCAGCCATAAAAAAGGATGAGTTCACGTCTTTTGTAGTGACATGGATGAAGCTGGAAACCATCATTCTGAGCAAACTATCACAAGAACGGAAAACCAAACACCGCATGTTCTAACTCATAGGTGGGAACTGAACAATGAGAACACTTGGACACAGGGTGGGGAACACACACTGGTGCCTGTCATGGGGTAAGGGGATGGGGGAAGGATAACATTAGGAGAAATACCTAATCTAAATGACAAGTTAATGGGTGCAGCAAATCAACACAGCACATGTATACATATGTAACAAATCTGCGTGTTGTGCCCATGTACCCTAGAACTTAAAGTATAATAAAAAAAGAAAAAAAAGATACCAAGCAATAAAGTTCATGTTAATACCGATACAGAAAAAGTACAAGTCAAAATCTCCATTTCATTTTACTATAGTAAAATAAATACATAATCCAGTAACGTATTTGCTTATTACCATTATCAAGTACTATATACTATACATAACAGTGTGTGCTAGACTTTTACATGACTGATAGTGTAGTGGGTTTGTTTACACCAGCATCACCACAAACACATGAGTAATGTGTTGTGTTATGATGCTACCATATAACTAGACAATAGGATGTTTTTCAGCTCAGTTATAATCTTATAAGACCACTGTCATAGATGTGGTCTTTTGTTAACTAAAGCATCATTATATGGTGCATGACTGTAAATAAAACTTAACTTCCTTTTAAAATTTGAGGTGTTTCCTATAATTTCCCTTCTTTCTATGTTGTCACACCTGTTCCAGTCACCTAGACATGAAATCTAGTAGAAAGGGCTTTCTTGACACCTTTTTCTAGTATATTATCAGGTCAATCTTATTGCAAAGTTTTAGTTCATTCTTTCAGCTATTTTCTTTTCTACTGAAATGGCTTTCCTACCCCAAAATAAACATGCCCCTTTCTCTAAATGTAAATGTAGATTCATAGGTGAATGGGTGGAATTACTAATGGAAAATAGATAGATCATCTATTTTTTGATGCTCATTATTCTTTCATTTAAATAGATTTATTTTATTAGTATCTTAGCTAAGTTCAACATTTTTTTCAGTCCTTACTAAATGATTGGTTTTTCCCTTGGCATTGAGTAGATTAATAAAAAAGGAACATACTCTTCTTGTCTTCAGGGAATTTAGATCTCTTTGAAGGAATACAGTTTATGAGATCTTTTTTATGCCTTCTCCCACACCTCCTCTCCCCTTCTTTCCTGCTATCAGAACTACAGGCTTTTTTTTTGTAGAACAACAATATGTTCAGCCTTAGGGGGTAAATGATGACAGATCTAGGCTAACTCCTGTCTCTGTCTTTCTTGTTTGCCAGATAAAACTTTTCTAGTGCTACTTACAGCCATGTGAACCTTTTCTGGCCCGTTAGATGTAAGGATATATTTTTTGAGAGTCTTCAAGCAAACGTTTTATTTCTTCAAAGAAGACATAGACTTGTGTTAAGAAAGACTCAGCAATCCCATTAGTGGGTGTATACCCAAAGGAATAACATCATTCTATTATAAAAACATATGCACGTATATGTTCATTGCAGTACTATTCGCAATAGCAAAGACATGGAATCAACCTACATGCCCATCAATAATAGACTGGATAAAGAAAATGGGGTAATATACCCCATGGAACACTATGCAGCCATAAAAAAGAATGAGATTATGTCCTTTGCAGGCGCATCGACGGAGCGGGGGGCCACTATCCTTAGCAAACTAACACAGGAACAGAAAACCGAATACCGCATGTTCTCACTTATAAGTGAGAGCTAAATGATGAGAACACTTGGACACTAGAGGGGAACAACACACACTGGGGCCTTTCAGAGGATGCAGGGTGGGAAGAGGGAGAGGATCAGGAAAAATAACTAATGTGTACTAGGCCTAGGACCTGGGCGATGATATGATCTGTACAACCAACCCCCATGACACAAGTTTATCCACATCACAAACCTGCAGTTGTACTCCTGAATTTATAATAAAAGCTAAAAAAAGAAAGCACTTCCCCTTCCTACTTTCTAAGTTTCAATATACTTGTGATATCTGGAGTTTACAGCTATGAGGCAATAAGCCTAAGACAAACAAAACAAAAGCAAAACAAAAAGGCCAATGTATCAAGAAGCATCAGTAAAGGGACAGAGTCTGTAATTGATGAAATGATTACACTTTTGAACTAACCTTTGATTTCCTATTTCTAGCCTTTGACTTCACATTTCTAGACCTGCTATCAAGTAAAATAACTGTAATTCTGGTTTTATCAACTGTTAGTTGTTTTGTTGTTGTTGTTATTTGCTGCCAAAAAATTCTTAACCAATGAGCCTACATACGTGGTATAGTTTAATAAAATGCAAGAAATCATGTGATTAGGTCACCAGAAATGATGATGGATTATTGTGTATAGACAATCTAATTCAATAAATTAGTGCCTCTTGGAGTCAGAAAAACCATTATGGGAGACTGGACTTAAGTGGCCAAGGGTTGTGCTGATCCTTAACCTTTTCCCAGCTGAGAGAACATGAATAGTACAATGAAGTAAAACTGAAATCTATTTTCCCACTTTCTATTTTTATGGAAGTTGAATTTACTGGCTAATAAAGTTCTGTGTATTTAAATTACTTTTGCTTTTATTATCCCTGGTAAATGTGGAAAAATTAGTTAATGGCATATATTAATTTTTCTCACAAAGTTTCCGGGTTGGAAAAAGGTCTTCTGAACCCAATAACTTTCCAGTTGTTGAACACCCTCTATGCAATTCTGTTAATTGTTTGCCAGGACTGTTCTTACATTCCACTGATGACAAGGAATGGAATCAGCACATTTTAACCTTCTAGCAGGTATTTACTTATAAAAATTCTTTCCTACTTTTGAGTAGAAATAGGCTCTGTGTAATTTCTTCCCATCGATCTGAATCCTGTTCCATGGAATCAGTCATGAAAATATTTAAAGATTGCTATTATTTCCTCCTTGACAACATATCCAGTTTACTAATCTCAAGTTCCGAAGGACAGATTTATAGTAGACTATTTTCTAAACCTTAGCCGTTTGAGGGCTACCTTCATAGTTTCTCCACATCAACTAAACGGTCTCTTATTCATTAATTTCCTTAGCATGACTCATCTTTTTACTTAAATAATTCTAGATTCACCCTAAGCAGTAACATCCATTTAATCATTAGTTTGATTTTCTAGTTATATTTCCTAATGTACATCATAACAAATAGATATTAAAATAAAAATGTTTTTGTTCAGCCTAAATCATATGTACTACACATTTGAGAAACACTGCATTAAATATTTTTCTTTGCAGGTTTCGTCTGTTAAGGCCTTCCTTCCCTCCCTCCTTCTTTGTGACAAGACAAGTAAAACATTACTTACAGTAGAAGTTGAAAGTGTAAAGATTTTGAACCTTTTGGCTTAGAGATCTCCCATTTTGTGATTAGAGACATCATTTCACCTCTTAGCTATTATCATAAAATTCAGATTCTCTTATATCTGTTGAATTGTTGAAACATGTGCTCTTTGGATCTGAATTAAAAATTATTTTTTATTAAAAATTAGGATGGTAGGTATAATATTTTTTCATATTTTATTAGCTTAATATAGGAACATTAAATTAGTATTTCTATAGTTCAATTGGAAATGTGGTCATTTTAATAATAGAAATACTTGCTATAAATTCACCCTATTTATAATGAACATAAGCAAGACAGACTTGGCTGCAATTACTTTGTAGGAAAAAGTTTTGGTTGTATCAAGGAAATTAAAAATATCTTCATGTAACATTTTTCAAATAAATACCACTGACCAATTTCAGTGTCATATAAATTACTCTCTGATGCAAAATTATACACAGTAATACAAAGAAAGTCAACAATAATTGTATAGAGATTGATACTTTGGAATAAAGTAAGAAATGCTTTATAAAAAATAAGTAGCTTTATACGACAATTACAGTATGCTCTTAGGATGAAGAGGAAAAAGGCTGTATAAATAAAAAGTGTATTAATTTGGGTATAGATATAAGTATTGTAACTGGAAAGATATTTTGTGTTTCTTTTTTTTTTAAGAGGTGAATATTGCTGTGTTGTCCAGGCTGATCTTGAACTCCTGGGTTTAAGTGATTCTCCTGCCTCAGCCTCCTGAGCAGCTGGGACTACAGGAGTGCACCACCATGCCTGGCTAGAAGGACACATTTTATTAGATAAAATTTTTGACTGTAATTTATATGCATTTTGTAGGTAACAATATTTAGATGTAAAATAATTTGAGGTAACAATGTTTCACTTATATAGGTAAGGTATATGGATTAGCCTGAATTCCACTCCTGTCATCTAGATCTGTTGTGGGAGGTAAATAAATGATAACTGTTTAGATGCTTGAATAATGAGGACCTAAGTGAACAGTTTCTTTTAATACCACTTATTCTCCAAAGGCTCAACCTGGTCATGAAATTAAAAACAGAGCAAAAGAAGAACAAAATGATACCACCACCAAAACAACACGTAAATTGCTAGCACAAATTAGTTTGGTGGAGTTCAAAAATATTTCAGTAATATGCTCCATCTTGAAAGGCAGAATTCTTCAAATTGCACAATAATTTTTCATGGCCGGTACTTAAACATAAACTGTTGGCTTAGAATGACTCACGAGACAATCTCATCTTATCCTTTTATTTAAAGCAACACAAGAGATTTTCTGGCTGAATCCTGTTGGTTTTTGTTGTTGAATTTTGTTTTCTAGGTCTAAATCCCCCATTTAATCAATTTTGTAGTAGCTTTTGTGTGTTGGTGAGAAATGTGGTTTTTTTCTCCCCTGTTTTCATTTTTCTTTCCTGTTTAAGTGAAGGATTTGTGAACCTTATTAAAGAAGGATTTATCCATTTGCTTCTGCTTTATCCTGCTAAATTACCTATGTTACTTTGTGATATAGAATTTGCTTAGTTGCTTTTATACTTTGGATGCAAATATCATATTTAAGATCATATTAAGATGTGTTAAGCCATTTGCTTGGTGTTCCACAGCATGAATTCTCCTTCAAGACACCTGAAATAAATACAGTAATTATCAATATAAATTCTCTGCTAAGAAATAGGAAAATTTTGTTAAATAAGAAATAAAATAGGAAATAAAAAAATAAAATAGGAAAACTTTGTAAAATCTTCCAAGTGCTGAGCTGGCAATCTCATGGTTCTTAGAGAACCATAATTCTTCTGAATTAGAGGTTGATTATGTTCTTAATCAAACAAATATTCAAAATATTTTTCTATGTTCCAAAAATTGGATGTAAGCACTAAAGAAAATTTGATTTTATTGGTATTTCTGCATTTTCCTACTCAATTAACCTAGTGGTAACTGCTGATATTTGGGAATCAAAGTTAAAGGTGAAAAGATAACTGGAAAAAAAAAATACACACAGAACAGAAACAGGAAATTTTACTTTTTGCTTCAGTAATCTCATAATTTAACCATCTAAGTTAAAGCTTAAATATTTTTAACGTAGGCTTAATTCTCCCCATTTACTGACTAGCAACCAATTTATTTCTTCCATGGTTTTACTTCCAATCTGTATGTATTGTGTTGCTTTAACTGTTTATCTCTATAGGTTACATTTCCTGTTTACTATAAAATATATTTCATAAAAATAGACTTTGTCTCTCCTATTCTCTAATGTACTGCTGGTACCTGGTGAGTATTTCTTTGAAGAAGGGCATAAATGACTTACGATCATAAAGTAAATGCTGCCTGGGTTTTCAGGCCATATCCCAAGGTTTTAAGGTTACACAGAACTTTGAAATTATCAATCCAATTTCCAAAGAAAAGAATTATACCCATTGCATAATTAACATATTGTCACCTAGTTTTTGCCCCTTAGAGCAAGAGAAATGAAGACACAACTGCAGTTGCTTGGAGACAGCACAGTGGTCACTCATTGCCTCTTTTCTCTCCCAAAGTAAAACACCACAAATTCATTCTGCTCATTCTATTTTATGTTTTCTAGTATAATTCTCCAGTGTTTCAATGACTTGATTGTGGGGGGAGAAAGGCGGGAGTCTGCTATGGTTTAAATATTTGTGCCCCTCCAAAATTCATGTTGAAAATTCATTCCCAATACAACAGTATTAAGAAATGGGATCTTTAGGAGGTGATTAGACTATATGGGCTTCGTTCTCATGAATGGATGAGTGCCTTATAAAAGTGCCCCAGGAAACTAGTTGGGCCCTTTTTGCCCTTCTACTCCCTTTACTATGTGAGGACACAGGTTCATCCTCTCTGGAGGATACAGTGTTTAAGATACATCTTGGAAGCAAAGAACAGCCCTCAGCAGACACTAAACCTGCGGGTGCCTTGATTTTGGACGTCCCAGCCTCCAGAACTATGATAAATACATTTTGGTTCTTTATAAATTATTCAATCTCAAGTATTTTGTTATAGCAGCATGAATGGACTAAGACAGGAGTCCTTACTTTTATATGCACTACATGACTGGATTCAATTAATATGGGTGACAACTTGGAATTAATTACATGACTAAGTCTAGCTGGATCCAGATATGAAAAGTCTTGTGAAAAGTCTTTAGCAAGGTACTAGAATGGACAAGCACCGACTTTGAATGGTACAGGTAATGGAAACCAAACAAGACATTCTTCAAAGGAGTCACAGAAGTTTTCTATCAAGACGTCTAAATTCTCCATATCTTTGATTATCTGATAGTTAAGAAAAGTGTGTCTTTATATTTTTATAAAAATATGAGTAACTTTTTGTTTATAAAGTTCTTGGATATTTAAAAAGTTTTAAAAACAGAACTTACCAATCTAAATATCTTTCTTATTGGTTGGCTTTAAGACAGAGGAAAAAGCAAAGAATTAGGAAAATTAGGGAATTAGGAAATTGATAAAATTAAATTGGGACAAGCGATGTAGAGATTGCCTACTTAGACATTGTAAGAAGGAGATAAACATAAAAATAATTTACTTCTCAAGAAGGTGGTAGAAAGGTTAGAATAAATATTTAGTAAGGGAAGGATTTGTGGACATCTTTCAAAATGTCAAACGGGGCAGGAATTAATTTTGAAAAATAACCTACTTTCAAATGTTATCAAGATGACTATGGAAGGAATGAAAATAAGCTTTAAAAATACACATGGCTATAAGACAAATATAAAAAAGCTAGCCAATGATTATTTAAGCCAATGATGCATCAATCACCCAAGTGTAATAACTTTTAAACCAAATGTGGATGGTGGTCCATGATTTGATATATTATAGTGTGCCAGAGAAGGTCTGAGAAGAAAAAAAGAAAGAAAGAAAGAAAAACACAGTATTTGGCAACAAAACTGAATTACTTTGAGACTATACTACTATTGAGTTCTGAGACCAAACTGCATTTTGTAAGAAATTAAAGTAGTAAAGATTCCCCACCCTGGTCTCTAATAATACATACTGCTGAATTAACTGCCAAAGATTCTAATTCAGTTTGTATGTGCATGGCAGGGAGAAAGGGCTGAACACAATTTTATTTTATTTTTTTTTTTTTTTTTTTTTTTTTTTTTTTTTGAGACGGAGTCTTGCTCTGTAGCCCTGGCTGGCTGGAGTGCAGTGGCCGGATCTCAGCTCACTGCAAGCTCCGCCTCCCGGGTTTGCGCCATTCTCCTGCCTCAGCCTCCGGAGTAGCTAGGACTACAGGCGCCCGCCACCTCGCCCGGCTGGGTTTTTTTTTTTGCATTTTTAGTAGAGACGGGGTTTCACCGTGTTAGCCAGGATGGTCTCGATCTCCTGACCTCATGATCCGCCCGTCTCGGCCTCCCAAAGTGCTGGGATTACAGGCTTGAGCCACCGCGCCCGGCCTTGAACACAATTTTAAAGATGGTACTAACAATGACATGGACTTATAACAAGGAATAAGAATTATTTAATCACACAGTGATTAAGTAGTAAGACATAAAGTATGGTATTTTGAGATGCTCATATTCAGCAGAGAAATGTAGGCCTCATACTTCTTTCCTGAACTTGGCACATGGAACATGTTAGTGCAGTGTCAGACTGGGCTTTGAGTGTTGGAAAGTAATAGGAATGGGAGAGTATGCAGTGGTCTAGAGAGTCCATGATGGAAACAAACCGGACTTATTAGCTCCTTTGAACTACATAGAAAGAACCTCTCACACAAAGCAGTCAGAGAAGAAACTAGAAAATGTACATCCTAGCTCATGTTCTGGGTTGGTGCTTCTCCAAGTTTAATGTACCCATGTGTATTAGCCCATTCTCATGCTGCTATAAGGATATACCTAAGACTGGGAGATTTATAAAGAAAAGAGGTTTAATGGACTCACAGTTCCACATGACTGGGGAGACCTCACAATCATGGGGGAAGGCAAAGGAGGAGCAAAGGCATGTTTTATATGGCGGCAGGCAAGAAAGCATATGCAGAAGAACTGCCCTTTACAAAACCATCAGATGTCATGAGACGTATTCACTGTCATGAGAACAGCATGGGAAAAAACCCATCCCCATGATTCAATTACTTCCCACCAGGTCCCTCCCACGACACGTAGGGATTATGGGAACTACAATTCAAAATGAGATTTGGATGAGGACACAGCCAAACCATATCACCATGCATCTCCTGGGGGACTGGTTCACAGGCAGATTCTCATACAGTTCATATGGGGTGGGGCTTGAGATTCTGCATTTGTACTGTGCGGCAAGTTGATACTTGTGCTGCTGATATTGATCACAGTTGGAGTAGCAATGTGTGAAAGAGACATTCTCAAAACCTAATGTGTTCTTAAATCACCTGGAGGGCTGGTTAAAACAGATGTCACTAGACTTCAACACAAGAGTTTCTGATTCTGCAAGTCTGGGATAGGACCCACTAGTTTGCATTTCTAACAAGTCTGCAGGTAATGTCACTGCTGCTGGTTCAGGGATTACACAGAGAACAACTTGTGGAGAATATTGCATTAAAGCTGTGTTGTCTTTTTTTTTTTCTTACTTGACTCAGAGAAAGGACCTATTTCATTTATTTTCTTCCTTAGGCTATTTGACCTCTTGGCTACCACTGTTATCCAGAGCACACTCTTCTAAAGATGTTTGCTCTATGTAAAATATTTGAAAGCTAACACCAACTATATATACATATGAGTTAGGCGAAGTAAAATTTGATCTGTAGAAAAATGAGGTTAATCTACTTAATCTACTGCTTTCATCATATTTGACTTCTGATTAAAACAGCATTGTACTCTCACAGGGAAATCTTAAAGTGCTTTCTATGCAATGTCTTCTACTAAAAACTCCGCTTCATCGCTTTTTAACCATTTTTTTTCCACTACAGTTTTCTCTACTGACTCCAGTTAAACTACTGCAGCTGGGTTTCCCAAAAGAGATTATTTCTTCGTCCATGACATCTCATTTGTTAACTCAAATATTGCTCCCACCATCTTTCCAAGTCAAAATTAAACGTACCATCAAAATCCATTCCAATTATTCACTGTTAGGAAGATCCTTAAGTAACCTGTTTCAAATTTGTTTCCTCTTGTCTCTGAAGTCTATATTTTATTGTGTCTGTTATTTACAACTTTGCATATGGATATTTAAGATACTGGGATTAAGAGATGAGATATTTTAATTTTTCATTTTGCCCAGGATTCAAAGCTTGGGTAGTGCTTAAGGGCGTGAGTTCAGGAATTAGACTATCTGTGTTTAAAGCTGTCACTCTCACATCTCTTCTGTGAATTGGGGCAATAGACAATATTTCTAAACCACAAGAAGATCAGAGATATTCTAAACCACAGTATCTCTGATATTGGAGTGATAGGACTGCTCAAAGGTTAAATCAGCTATTTTACGGAAAGTGCCTGGCACAGTGCATGGCACATAGCACTCAATAAGCAGCAATCAACAAATAACATGGTATTGGGCACCCAGTAATCACTTTATTTAAAGGTGAATGAGAGGGTGGATGCCAGAAGCAATAAAGACTTCGCAAACAAATTTTTGGTAATTTGTGAATTAAAGTGACTGGTGACTAATGGCTAAGTGGTTAGAGTTCCTGGTGGGCTTTGGCTGGGCGGCACTGGCAACAGATACCTTTGGACAGTTTTGTGGAGTGTTGGCACCCGTAGGGATGATTAACCCTCTTACAGTTTTAACCGACAAAGTCTTTCTAGATAACATTGAAAAACACTTGAAAGACATTTGAACATTTGCTTTGTCCAAGTATTCCCTACTGTAAGCAGATTTGTTAAATATAAAGACAGATATATATGTATATAATACTGAAAGCAGTTACAAATTATACGTTACCTCCAACGATGATTAGTTCTGCAGATCACTCTGGGAGAATCCTTTAAACAACAAATTCTTCTGCTGCATTTAAAGTGTGATTGATTATTAGAAATTTGATTTAAGGTGAAACTTTTCATGAAAACACTGAAAGCAGGATACAGATATAAGGGGAAATATTAGAACTTATTGGTGTAGACAGTAATTTGATTTAAATTTTTTTTTTAAGTATCCAGGTACACTATTCTAAACTTAAATAAAGCCACCTGGGAAAATTTTTATTTGAAGAAAGGATGTTTCTTAAGGGCTCATATGGAATATGAAAACATTTCTGTTTTTCCAGATGAACACTTTATCATTTGAGGTAGAGAGAAAAATATATTTTCTCTGTATTTTTCAAGGAATAAATTGATGCAAAATGTTTTCAGTAATTTAATTTTTAAAGATAAACAGTTTCTATTTTCTTTTCTATCTTGTTCCTTTTCAATGTTATGAAACACTCATCATAGCAGATATTTTGTATAAAACTGGCTTTATTTCAAAAGCTTGATTATATCTTGTTTTGCAAAGATTTTATTGGAACTATGTATATATTTTTAACATTACTTAAAGTGAATCACTTATATGGAATAGACTCTTTCCAAATTGTTGCTACTGTTTTATACAGAAATTTAGTCACCAGAAGTAGTTACAATGATCTCTTTTCTGCTATTATGCACCACATACAAAGTTAATTTTCATGGAATCTGTGCATCATTTGATTATCAGTTTCCACTCATTGTAGGAATAAGACACCATACATATTTTGGGAAGGACTGATGAGCTAACATAACGTTTTGAATTTGAATCATAATTTCTGTCTGCCTTTAGTGCCATACAAATCATCAAATGTTTAATTTGAATGAGTCTTTAAAATTTAAGAATAGAAATGGCTATGTGAAACTCTATCTTTGTTTAGGTTCAACCAGGTGAATACTATGCTGTGAGAATGTGACTGAAGGCAGTGTTTATCTGTGGGACATCCAGGGTAGCTAGGATGAAAACAGAATCATTTTATGGAGGTAGCTGGTATGTGGTACAAAAATACACAGTAGGAAGCATAATTTGATTTGCATATGCACTCATTTGTGCACTGAAACTTGCCTGTATTCAGGTTCCCATCTTTTCCAGATAAAGGGGTCCAATATATTAAAAAGGTTGACCCAATAATATTAGAACATCTGGATGTTATTTTTTCCCATTCATTTATTTCATCTTAAAAAAATGACTATAACTTTAATCTCAGTTCTGAAGAACCTGGATTCTTAAACTGCTGTAAGAGAATGGATTCATCAGATCAACTCGTCTTAGGGTTTGTAAAGTCTCTTTAGACACAGAATCCATGCTTTTAATTAAACCTCACTCCACACCCCAAAATATAAAATACATCTTATCAGAATTTACTTTATTGAAGTAGAAGAGGAAGCCATAATGCTCCTCCTGCTCTAACGTCTCTCTCATTCCCTCTCCTCTTTCCCTGCTGGATGGTCCTTGAGGCATTCTGTGAAAGCCAAGGGTCTTCAGAAGCATGGATGGAAAACGCCTGAGGATCTTGACCCTCGTGGTATCAGGAAGGGAATTAAGTTCTTTGAAGAAGGAAGGTTTTGAGACAAACAGATATGGAATTATGAAGATGGATCCAGAATCCAAACACCTTCACTTCTAGCCCAGTTATATTTGATAGCTTGTGTTGCACTGACATATGCTTATATGCCTATGCTTATGTGATTAATTAATATGATTATATGATTAATTAATTATGCTTGTATGATAAATCACTAGGCCATTTGGAAAAAAAGAAGATGCATGTCATACAGGATTGAAAAGGACTGGAGAAGAACCAGAGGTTTGAGTTGAAAAAGAATTATGAGGTATAAAGATTTATATCTTGTTTTCATAATCTTCCACGATATTCCTTCTTAATATTTACTTAATTACTATGATGAACAACAAACAATCATCGGCTGTTTACAACACAGAATCATCTGGCTGAGGAGGCTTTGATTTAGAATCACGAGAGCAGGTTATGATCTCAGAAAATAAAATACTTGTTTCATGTCTCGCCGTAACTACTACTAACATATTTAATAAAGAAAATAATGAATCGGTCTCTTTGTATGGCCAGCTTCCTTCTTATCCCTCAGGGATCAGGTTAGACTTAATTTCCTCAGAGATGAATCTCAGCAGATTCTGCCTGTCATTTTCTGTAATGACACTTGTTTATTTCCCACAAATGAAATAATCCCAGTTTATTCTTTTTGTATTTATTCCGTTACTATTAATCTTTCAGCACATCTAAACTGTAAGCTCTAGCATAGGGTAGGGTTCATGTCTTTCTTGTTCACTGTTGAACATCCAGCAACTGGCACAGTTGTCATCATGTAGCAGATGCTCAATAGATCATTATTGAACTAATAAATTATATTTATATAGATTGCTATCTCATGAATATCTTAACATAAATTATATATAAACGCTCTTTAAGATGCATATAACATATATTCACATATACACATTTTGAATTCACATTCAGTTTTGAAAAGTTACAGTTCACCATAGTCCTAAAATTGTTAGTGATAATTATTGGATGACATCTTGATGTGCATTTGTGGTGCTTATATTCAGTTACCGAGTTCAATGAGCAAAATTCCTGAGAAAACGTTCAGCCATATGCTGCTTCGCAGTTGCAGTACATTGGAGACTAGTCACAGCTTTTCTTTCAATGACTTTGAGTTTCCAAATGGTTCAGTGGCTTCCATTTTAGCTTTCATTTTTGGCTTTCTCTACAATTGCTGCAATATTACATGACAAAATTACAAGGAAAGATCAGACAACATAAATATTTTCTATTCCCTAGGGTACTTATAGCTTTGAAAACAATAATGTAGTCAAATTACTGAATCAGGTTTAGTAAGCATCTCACAGTGTTCTAATCAATTAGTCAGTTAATCAATTGACCATCTGTTTATTGACAGCCTCTATAGACAGCGTTATGATACAGACATATAAATATATACAGAAGGATCTCTTTCAGTAGATAATAGAATGTCTATTAGTGATCAGAATGTTACTCTGAAAACAAGTTAATTACTTAAGCCAACTAACATTAATTGTATGTATAATCAAGGTAACAAGAAGTGAACCATCATTGTTGGGAGATTTAATGGAGGGGTTAAGATTTAATCTTGGCTTTGAGTCATGGTATTTGGAGAGATGATGGCTTTTTCAGGAGCTGGTGGGAGTGAAAAGGAGCATACACAAAACTTCAGGCATTGTGGAAGAAAAGGGGACTTAAGAGATTTGATTGAGCCAATCTCCTGGGAAGCAGAAAGTAATGAAGTGGTGTTTTTAGGGTGAGATAAGTTCATGGAAGGCCTTAAATGTGGAGCAGTTTCATGCAATGTGTAACAGGGAGGGATTGTTTTCCTTCAAGTAACTCGATGATGTGATGCAAAGTGAATTTTAAAGAAAATTAACCTGGTAGTGATATGCAGAATTAGTTTAAAAAGGAAAAATGGAGTTAAGTAGAAGGAAATAAAGATATATGTTTAGAGTTTCATTTCTCAAGAAATTCCAGTTTTTAAAAACACACTTCCTTAAATATAGTTTCTGACTAGAGCAATATAAAGTATGAGTCACTCACAGCTTAAACATGACAAGTTGCGTACTAAATGAAACCTAAATTGTGGATGTATAATTTAGAGACATTTTTGCTCATGAAGATATATTCAGTTAAGCATCTCTTACCTACTGTTCTATTGAATCAAAACACATATCAACATCTCTGTGACAGTTCCATGGATGAAATATTTTCATTAGGTTTATGATAGTAAACTAAACCCAGAATAAATTCATAAAGAGTGTGTCTGTAATGATAGGAAATGAAATGAGAAGAATTTCATAATGATATCTCAATCACATTCAAATCGATCAGTAGTGAGTGGGTGATTACCATTGGTCTATTTCGTATGCGCATACAACAGATGTTTTCTTTAAACACCTCCGAAAATGTGTTTGATGCTGAAATACACAATGAATACAGTCTTAAAAAGACTGAAGACTTGAGATGGATGCCAGGAATGAGGGAAAGTTGGCAGCATCTGGGGCCATGTCAGGAGGAGAATCCACATTTCCAAAGGTGACAAAAAAAAAAAAAAAAACCCAAAAAAACAGTTTAATTTGCTCTTGGATTTAATTCCAGGATTTAAATGTAGTTTTAAAAAAGCACTGCATTAGATTTAGCTACATGAACAGCTAGAATAATTTTATTCCCAGAATTAACCAGTTACTTACTATCTAGTTGAGCCAATCAGAAACCTAGGGTCATCTTTGATACATTCTTTATTACCATAACCCTCATCCAATCCATTACCAAGTACTGATTTTACTCACTACATAACACTGTAATCACTCAGCTTCACATCATTCCTGCTGTTACCACCTTTGTCCAAAATGTATCATCTTTTTTCAGAACTTCTGGTATTATGTACCCTGCATTCACACTGGCCTTTATCGAATTTATTCCCTACTTAGCAGTCAGCATGATCTTTTATATACATTTCCCCATCACCAAATCAAAATATTTCTATGACTTTACAGTCTTGGGAAACAATCCCAAATTGTTAACAATGAATGACTAAAGTGACAATGACTGTGACCTCATTGCTGCCTATCTTTGCAGGTTCATTGTCCCCTGCCTGCCTCCAGGTCTTGCCATAGGAGCCATTCTTTTTATTGCCATCATGGTTCTGTGCACATGCTCTTTCTTATATTTGGAAGGCCCTCTGCCCTGCTTTTTCCTGCTTAATTATTATTCATTCCTTGAATATCAGCTTTAACTTACTTCCTAAAGGAAGACTTCTTTGAATTCCTAGTTAAAAACATATGATATTGTTATAGCTGTCTTGGTTCATGTTTCTTTTCCTCAGAGCACTCAACTCTTCTATAATTATGAACTCATCAGCCAGATTTTTATTTTGCATTTGTTTCCTGTTCAAGATTTTGTGCTCTCTAAAAGCCAAGGTCACGACTCTTTCCTGTTGCCATTTTGTGCCCAGCACCTAGCCCAGTAGCTGGTATATAGTGAGTTTTCACTCTGCTTTCACTCCACATTCACGGCTGGTACTTCCTAAATCCATTACCACACAAACCATTGCTTTTCCATCTGTGAAATGCAGAACAACTAAGTCTCACTTCTATGAAAATATATTCCTTGTGGAAGTACCTACTCAAGCTAAATGTAGCATATCCAGTCAGACTAAGAAATTCCCTAAGACTTTCCGACGCATTCCACTCCTAAGTAAAAACCCAACAGAAGTACATATGTATGTCCCATAGAAGATATGTTTAAGAATGTTTAAGCAAGCATGATCGCAATAGATAAATTCAGAAAGCAATCTTTGTGCATCAATAACACAATGAATAAATAAATCATGATGTATTCATACAATTGAAGTACCACCCACAATGAAATTGGATGAATTGTTGCTACATTACAACAAAGTATATGGATGTCGCAAACATAATGTTGAGCAAGAGAAGCCAGAAAGAAAAATGATACATACTGTGTGCTTCCAGTTACGTAAATTTGAAAAGTATGGAGAACTGACTGATGACAGTAAGAGTTAGAATAGTGATGAATTTTAGGGGGCTATGATGAGAGGTGGGTAATAGGACCTACTGAGGTGTTGGTAAAATTCTATTTCTGGGTCTATTTTGTGCCTACATGGGGATATTTGCTCTGTTAAAGAAAATGAATGGAACACACATGAATTTGTCCATTTTTCTGTATGTCTGTGATACTTAAAGTGAAAAGTTACTGTTTCTGAGAGAGTAGATTATTTAAATTTTGAATGACTTCAATTTGTTATAATGCCTTTATTAGAAAATGATCATTTATATTTTGAATGTATTGACTTATATACATTTCACTGACTGTTAGCTACTGAGATACACTTCTCTTGTCCTATAGTTAGACATTGGCTAAATTCTGTAATAATAGATAGCATTAAGCAAGCATTTATTATGTGACAGATACTGGACCAAATGCCTTCCATGCAATATCTCGTTTAATCTCCATGACAACCATGCATACAAGGTACTCTTATTTTCATCCTCTTGTAAATGAAGGTGCTAAAGCAGAGAACTTCAATAATGTAAGGAAGGTAACAGAATTAATAAATGGTGGAGCAAGGATCTGAACTGAAATTGAAAGCTCTAGATCTCATATCTTAACTGTTATTCTGCCTCTCCATAAAGATGCCAAATAAACTCATTAATATTTTGATATTAATTTATATATAAGAACTTAAATGAAAAAGTTTGAACAATGATACTTATTACAGGCTTTCCAGTATTGTCTGAGTGATAGGCCTTTACATTATAAATGCTTACATAATTAGACTACACATGAATTTAGGGAATTAAACTAATGTAATTTCTTAGCCCAGTCAGTACAAGTAAATTCAGTCAAAGTACAACAGCTAGGGCTTGAAAAGTTCTTTAAGGATATGGGCAAAGCAATAAAATAACCACTATTTCTCTCAAAATGAAAAATAGTATTTATCTAGCTAATGTACTACATTTTATATAAAAAATGAGAAAATAATTTACAGCTATATATTTGAAGAGTGAGTGAATGTAATTTACCAAATTTCCATATTAGTATAGCCTGTTATAGAATTAATAGCCAAGTTTTCATAGCAAGTACTGTATGTTTACAAACGTTCTCAAATAAATTTTGGTCACTCCCATTGATTAGCTTTTATAACAAAATGTTTGAAATATATAAAATTATTAATCTTCAATAATTTTTACAATGAAAGCAAACTATCTTGAAATTTAAATTATCTTAATATATTCATATAATCCA